CATTTTTATGGCCTGTCCTTTGGGCTTATTTACGATGGTTTGTGACAAAGAGACAACCTTTGCCATTAAGATTTATACTCTACTAACAAAGAAAACACAGAAGTAGATAAGAAGCCCAAATTAAACCATGGCACTAGATAAGAACACCCAAATTAAATAATGATACTAAAAATTTTTTTTTAATTCCACTGAAGGTAATTTAAAATTAAAACAAAGAGTATAGACATTGCAGACTATGGACAATGAGAATATAGAAATTTTCAAAACCTAAACTACAAAATCTAGCATTTGCCAAATAAGTCACTTTAAAAATTTTATACTTATATTTGTAGTGTCATGAAACAATACCCAGCTATTAAAATATTTTTAATGGCATGTTTTAATTTCATTCTTTTGTGCCTTTGTTTGAAAAATCAAGCAATATTTTTTGGTTTGGTAAAGTGTTCTTGGTTGGCAGAAGATATTCAGTATTTTTCTGTTTTTCCCATTAATACCATTTATCACAAAACTGACCTGGATATCTGTTATTGTTTTTAATAATCCCTTGAAATTCCTTGATAGTAAATGCCAATTGTAAAACTTGATTGGATTTCAGGAAAAGACAATTGCCTTAGAAACAAAGAAACACACAAAGAACACAGAGGAAAAAATCCTGCCTTTGAGCAGGATTTTTGAGAGTGAAAGCACTGCTCATGATAGAGACCAAAGGTTAGTTCAGTAGAATAAGCAGTCAACAGTGTATGCCCAGCAATCTAAATACTACGCAGCCATATGCGACCTGAGTAAACACAAACGTCCAGCTCAGGAATCCTTCAAAAAGGAGTTAATATGACCTCACAACTAATTGATGCTAACCAAGGCACCTAAGACACAACTATCCCGTTAATACTACAGTATAATTATACAGAACACTGTCTTTGATTTTGTGTGGAACTTCAAAGCAAAGCAAATACTGACACTGGACTTGCAGGTAATATCCTAGACTTAATTTCACATCACAGACTCAAACATGGTGATACCTGGGTGTAGAACTCATTCGCAAACCACTTCCAGGCTTCATAAAGAAGACAGAAGGGACTGGGTCCACACAAATACACACTAACACAAATGCCTATAATTTTTAAATTGTGCTGTCCCTGTATTCCTGCTAATACTTTTGCAAATCATTTACTTGCTCCATTCCCAACTGTATTTCGTGTTATCGCCTTATAATTTATATGTGCCTTAAAAGTACATATTGTTGACCATTTTTATTTTCTTCACCTACAGATTTCCACGAAAACTAAATTAAAATGAAGTAGGAAGAAGCACAGTCTATTAAATTTCTTTTAGTCTTATCAATAAGCTTACTTGTCTGATTTACTTATGGTTGACTTTAATTCTTTTATATCTACAACCCAAGGTCCCCAGCTTGTTTTCAAAGTTAATACCTGCAAATCTCTTCTTGTAGCTAAATTCCACTCAGTGGATGTGTTTTATTTCCAAATGATACTTAGAAATTATGTGTCTGTTCATGTGCAATGGTGCTACCTAAACAAATGAGACATGGTCTCTGTCTATAAAGACCAGGCATCCACTGAGAACGCCAAGCTCCTAGACTCTGAGGCCTTAACGAAAAAAATGGAACACTCCATTCTGTTATTGCTTCCTCAGCTTTTTTCTTCCACAATAGTGAGCTTCCTATTTGGCTGCAGATATGTTAGGAAGTTACCCAATGTCACCAATTCTTTATCCAAAAGAAAGGGAACAGAGTATGAATATGGAATGAAAAAAAACCTTTTTTCTAAATTCTGGTAGACAAAAATTGGTACAAATCAAAGAGGATATATCATTACATTCCGAGATAGAAGGTTTTAGTGCAGTACTTCGTTTCCAAAGACAGTTGATACGGTTTAGGGAACAGAACTCTCATGGTTACCTGTGTGTAATTTTAAGCTGCAGAGAATCTCCTGCAGGTTGGGGCGTCTTCTATGGAGTGATAGCTATTCTGTAATAACCTATATTAAAACCTTGACAATCAGTAAGTTCATTCTATTGGAAATCCAGAAAGTTACTGAAAGAATTGGACCAAGGTTTTTAATAACATAGTCTAGCTTGTCAAAAAGCCAGATAAAAAGGTGCGAAAATTCACAGTATAACTCCCTTAGATTGAAGTTAACAAATCAATTCCCAGTCTTTCAAAAAAAAAAAAAAAAAGTAAGGTAGAAAAGGCGTACTCCAATTACATCTTTTGAAATTAAATTATTGTAAAATTGGATCTTAAAAGTATGGAGAAACTGCAGCAAAAAGACAAAAGAATAAAAGAATGAAGTGGATAATAGAATGAAGTCGAAAAGAGGGGCATGGTGTGTGTGGGTGGGTGTTAAACTTTGGGAGTGAATGCTATAAACAGAATAAAACAATGAATCCGGAACACTGCGTTTGACAGATTGGCACATAGAGAAAGATGAACTTTACAGAACTGTATGTTTAGTTTGGTCCTAATGCTGTCTTTGAAAGGATACCTTATGTATTCTACCTAAAAATAACTTAGTAATGATATTCAAATATTTTCTTAGCAGAGGAGCCATTTTTTCATTTGTTACCCCAAGGTTTCTGCTGCATTTCCAACTCTCAGGCTCCCAGAAACCTCTAGAGGCAGCTTTCGGGAACCTTGGAACTCTACTGACCAGTTCAAAAGCCACTGTGGTATTAAATTCATGTTGTTCAAAGTCAACAGATACGCATATAACTGGAGTAGGGGAGAGTGTGTAGAACCTTCAAAATCATCTCAGTATACACACCCATATGTGATCTCTTAATGACTCGGGGCCTAGTCCTTGTTTTACCCTCTGTCTAGTCTTTTTGTTCCCTGAGGGAGCTTCACAAACTATCTCTAAGCTGTTGACTATAAATTTATGCACAGTGACTCAGCACTGACTCTTTCTCCCACACACTCTACACTCTACATGGTGGGAAGGTCTGTTGACTCTGGCAGCCAAACACATCTAGAACTGGCCACTTCTCGCCACCCCAATGCAGGCTGCCACCTCAGATTGCGACAGCCTCTCCCTGGTCTCATCTCTCCCCATTCTAGTCTCAAAATGACAGCCAGAGTGGTCCTTACATGAGGAAAGTTTCTTTCACTCCTCTACTCACAAAACCATTCAGAGATTCTCCATTCTACCAGAAGAAAAGCCAGAGCTCTTTCTGAGGCCTAAAGGTCATCCTGGACCCTGTGATAAGCCACCCAGATCCTCTTCAGGGTGACCTAACCCCTGCTGCTGGAGCTGGTCAATGTCTTCAGGACTGCCTCAGCTGAAGTCACCTCACCCAAGGTCACAGAGTCTTCCCAGGGGAGCCCATATCCAATGACTGGGCCACACGGGGTCATCAAGGCCCAGATGTATCTTCCTAATCAGGACAACTCCAGAGGCCACTCTCAGGCCAGTGCTCTGTGTGGGGGTCACCTCAGACTGTTACTGGGCCTGCATTGCAGTTCGACCTGTTTCTGTCCTACTTCCTTCCACTCCCTTCCATAGGTCTTCATTTCAACAGCACTCCCTAAAAAATGATCTGCTCACCCAACTCCCTCTCAGACTCTGTTTCTAGAGAACGCAGCCTGCAACACAGTCCTACGTGATCTAGCTCCCTGTAGCCTCTCTGAATACTTGCTCACTCTGCACCAACCTCTCCTGCTTGCTCTGTGCCAAACATATTGGCCTTTGATATTTCCAGAGGATTGACTGACTCCTTCCTCCAAATCCCTGCATGGTTGTTCCTTCTGCCTCCAACAACCTTCTCCAGACACCTGCACTGCTACCTCCTGTCAGCTTCATCTAAATATCATCTTCAAAACAAGCCTGCCCTGACCTACTCAGATAGGAAATACAAGTTTTAAAATGGAACAGGTCTCATTTTTTTTCTCATGTATTTGCTTATCTTTCTGGATATTTATTCCATTTTTGAAGGAATGACTTCACCTGCTTTTAAAAGCTTGAAAATTCTTGTTTTAAATCTATAAAGACAGTGCAGTGGTTAATACAGGATTTGGGCTTGTACAGACCTGGACTTGAATGTCCTAGCACTACCACTCTGCAGCTGTGTAGCCTGGGGACATCTCAGCCTCAGTTTCTTTATCTGTGAAGCAGGGATAGCATAGCTTCTACCTCTTAGAATGGTTATGACAATTAAATGACTTTATGTAAGTAACAGACTGTGAAAATGACAGAGATCCATGTAAATATTGGGAATTATTGAGAGATTGTTCTATGAACCACATGTACTAAAAAAAATAAAATAAAATACACTGGAGTATATTTGTAGCCTGACTTACTGATCAGAGTCCTAGAAAATATTCTTTTCAATTATACTCAACCTGGAGTGGATCGAAAACTTTCAGCAAAGCAGAAAGGATTAATTCTAGAAAGGAAAGTATCACCCAGAGGGCACAGTAACAGCCTAAAAAATGTTACTGGGGACATGGCAGAGTAATTGCCAACCAGTGTCATCTAGGCAGTTACATAGTACAAAATCCTAATTCTTTGCTCTTTTTGCACTGACTTTAATTACTACAGACTTTATTCTACTCTAAGGAAATTCTACTCTAAGGAAAGTTTATGTGAAAAAAAAAATCATATTGTATTTCAAGTATCTAGATGTATATATGTTCATCAGAAGAGCTTTAAACTTTAAAACCAGCTATATGTCTGATTATCTGAGATCAGAGACCTAAATCTTTTCATACATATTTTTAACCCAAAGTGTTTATGCTTATTTCTGTTTTTGTGATACAAAATAATGATCGTTGGCTTAAAACAAAACAATAACTTCTCCAAAATCTCAACAATTTTTGCTTGTGTTCACTCATTTTTCATTGGACAGAATAAAATGTCCTCATCCATGACCTCAAATCCACAAGCTTGACTGATTTCAGAGGTTACATCAGAGGTCCACTCTGCCAGGCAGAGATGATAGACCACCTATAAGATAGCACTAATGGAAACCACAAAAGTCTGAGATTTACCATTACATTATGTATCTGCCTGTTCAGATTTATTTGCAGATTCTACTGTAGTCGATTTCCTTATTTCTAAAGAGAGAATCATAAGCTTATGTTTAAAAGAATTAATAACAAGTTTCACTGAAGAGATATCATTAAAAACTATCATTTTGTGATTATACGTTAAAAATAATAATTGCACCATTGATTCAAATAATAATAAATGGTGATGTAAGGAATAAGGACAGCAGACAATGACAGCACAGTGTGACTTTGCCAAGAGTTTCTATTACTGCATGAGTAGAAGCAGGCCTGTGTGCTGATGGAGACAAACTAGGAACAAATTACCCCCAATCCTACAGACTCACGTGCAGTATCTGGAAAAATTACCGCCTGGGGTGAGGCAAATATGGGAAACTGTCTTTTATTCTCATAGTGGTGTGTGTGTGTGTGTGCGCGTGTGTGCATCTGTGTGTGTATTTGCCCTTGGGAAACTCAATGGCACATAAGGTTATTCAGGGTTTTCTTTCAAGTGATTATTTGCTAAAAATTGCCTTAACCTTTCCACGTCCTCACTGAGGATGTCATACACTCCTCCGGTTTTTCTTCACAGCTTTATACAACTTAATATTCAGGCTAGGGAAACTGGAAATTTCCTCCAGGTCAAACAACTCCTTAAATCTATCTATAAATTTATTTTCCTTCTCCAACCTGAATTTCATGGCCCAGAGGATGATGGTGGTTTCTTTGCACAGATGGTCAAAGGTAATGAGGAGCTCTTCCAAGAAAGGATGAGCGTAGACCACATCTGCTGCCAAAATATAGTCAAAATTATTAGAAGACCTGGGGAAGTTTGTATCTAAAGCTACTCCCCAGGAGAGTTCTTTAACCTGAGGCAAATGCTTGCTTTTCATTTTGGTGTTTCGGGAAATATTATATTGCAGGTTTCCAAGTAATTCGGGTAAATCTGTGGCCGTCACATGAGCACCTGTGAAGCAAAGGACAGTAGAGAAAGTAACCCTCATGAGATAAGGTAGAACAATCAAGAGTTTCAAGCCAACATGCACTTGGCAATTCTACAAAATTGTTCATCCCCCCATACAACAAGACTCGTCAGTACCTATACACAGAAAGGGAATCCCATTCAAATGGATGCTAAAGCAGCTATATGCCTCTGTTAAAGAGAAAAAAAGACAGAGAGAGATCCATGGTACTTTTGCGCACCATTGCATTTTTTATGTTCTCCTGGTTTTTGTTCTGGTATGTTTTGCTGTTACTATTGTTTTTGTTTGCTGTTTATCTACTACATACTAGGAGAAAAATAATCAAGAGAAAGAGAAAGTCAAAATATTTGGCACCCTCATTGAAACAATGAGAAGTCATTGATGGAAGAATAGGTACCTCCCTAAAAGAATTCTGAGCCTCAGTCGTGTGAGACCAAGTGAGTGTATGTAACATCGGACATCCTATAGTTGAACAGCAAGTGCTCAAGTGAGAAGTGGAGGGAGGAAAGAAGGCCTTTCCATGGCATTCCCTGAAAAGTATGATGACATCCATGCTATGCCCAGGTTTTCAACTTGGCCCATCACAAGTGTAAATCTTCCCATCAAAAGATGCTAAAAACCTAGTCACAGCATGTGTATAGCGCTCATAAAGCTACTGCTTACAGAAGAAGATGTAAACAATTTCCAAGATAGAAGTGAATAATGATGGGTTTTTGAGGAAGAAATATGGCAGGAGCAAATTTGCAGAATTTGTAAAGTGACCAAATTTGCTACTGCTTTGAGCAGTAGCAAAGGCTGAAAATAAGATGCAAATAAATCTAAGATTGTCCAATTCTGCAGCATCAGAAAAGCACAGACCAGGTAAAGAACAAGAAAGCAGAAATGGAAGAGAAGCCTAGTTTAGCTCAGACAAATAAGAAGCTACTCCTCAGCAGCAATATCATGAGTCTCTTGGCATCAATTATATTTTGTGAAAACATTAAAATGGGAGGGAGATATGCCTATCATTGGTACACTCATGGAGATACAAGCCTTTACATTCTACTATGGGTGGGTCTATCATTTTCAACAAATCTTTTTTAAATCTCAGGGTAGGGAATACACCTTTGCCCATATTGAATGTAAACTCCCCCTAATATCTTTTTGCCTAGAGAGATAAACACTACCACTTTCAGCATACTGACTAATCAAAGTTTCTATCTTTTAATATTTGTTCCAAGTTAGACAAGTGGACTCAAGGGACCAGTTATTTTTAATAAAACCAATGACTCCCCGAAGCACAAATTCTGCTCCTAAGTCAGGCTTTCAGGTATAAATCGAATAGTGACTCTGACCTATCCTTACTAAATGGAATAGTGACTTTGGCAAACAATATCAGGATACAGCAACTTTAAAAAAAAATGTATTTGGGAAGACTCCAAGAGACTTATAAATACTCTTACAAAAACAAATTTGAAAGTTGTAAATTGCTAAATGTTCAATTCCTCCAAAGATTTTAAAGTGGCAGGTGTGCACTTCTGAAGATCAAGGAAATCAGGATGGATCTGGGTAGCACACATCAGAGAAGGAGCTACACTAAGGCAATGAGATAGATAACAATAGCAAAAAGACTGAACTGAAATAGGCTCAGGCATATATTAAAAACTATCACATGCTTAGTTGGAAAAGATGCTCGTGAGAGAACTCAGGGTAACAATAAAAAAGAATGGAGGTGGGTCAGGCACAGTGGCCCACGCCTGTAATCCCAGCACTTTGGGAGGCCCAGGCGGGTGGATCACCCGTGGTCAGGGGTTCGAAACCAGCCTGGCCAACACGACAAAACTCTCTCTCTACTAAAAATACAAAAAAATTAGCTGGGCGTGGTGGTGCATGTCTGTAGTCCCAGCTACTCAGGGAGGCTGAGGCAGGAGAACTACTTGAACCCAGGAGGCGGAGGTTGCAGGGAGTGGAGATCGCACCACTGCACTCCACCTGAGTGACAGAGAAAAAATAAAACAATGGAGATGAACTGAGAAAACAAAGTCAAGGACAAACACCTAAAAGTAGAAGCAGACGTGTGATTTTTATGTGATTTCTAATACTCTCTCCCTATTCTAACAGGTGCTTTTTCATAAAAGCATAGCACTTCAAAACTCAAAAAGAATCTACAACTCCGTGGGAACACTGAAATGGTGCTACAATTTAAAGTGCGTCTGAACCAGCAGCAACAGAATCTGCCTCTGCCTAGTATTTCACATTTCTCCTCTTGCAACCAGAATGCTTCCGTGCACCGCTTGGTTAGAACACCTCATCTGAGGCTTGTGACAGTATTCCACAAGAAGAATTAATACAACTTAACGCAGAAAACTATGAAAGAAACCGGTAAGGAGACTTTACAATCTGTAGTTTCTAGATGAAGCCCATTCACACAATTAAGGAGTCCCAGATAGGTGCAGGTCATAGTACACTGAATAGTAAAACAACTAATGATATTTGATCATCAAATTCTCTGACACTCCCTCTATTCAATCAGAAATATCTGCTTACCAAGTAAACTTGCCACAATGGAGACTAGTCCTGTTCCAGCTCCAATTTCAATCACGTTTTTGTCAACCATATTATACTGCTTTGCATTTGTTTCCAGGAAATAGCATAGAACAAGGGCCTATGAAAGTTAGAAAAAAGAAAACAGGGATGCTTGGCAAGTAATAACAGAAAGTAAAATTAAACTTTATTGGATAAATATGTCGCTAATGTTATGATATGTATACATGCATATATGAGTATGTGAGAGTACTCATGTGTGTACCTGTACATCACTCCAAGAAATGTCAACAAAAGTGCATCCTCTGAGAGGTTCAACATTTCTACTAGAAAAATTCCTTGGGGATTACTGAGAGGAAAAGAGAGAGAACTAAAACAGTGGAATTCAGTTGCTTAGGTTTGATCATTTTTAAAGGAAGCAACTTCTGATAATACTAGTCATTTCCAAGTAGTGTGTGGGATCGGGGCGGGTGGGGTGGTGAGTCCACTACTCTTCATGGGACAGTTGGTAAAGGATTGAGGGTCTTTGAGGACATTCTACATGTGAGACTCATAAAGATTTCATTGCAATTGTTTAACTCAAAAGGAACTAATAAAAGGGGAAATGAAAGTGTTTACTGCTCTAAACTCTTCTTTTAAAAACTGAAGAAGTAAACACGCTGTATTAATCCTACAAATTTTAACAAAGTCAGAAATACAATTAATTGAGGCCCTGTGGCCAGGCACAGTGGCTCACACCTGTAATCCCAGCACTTTGGGAGGCCAAGGCAGGTGGATCATCTGAGGTCAGGAGTTCCAGACCAGCCTGGCCAACATGGTGAAACCCCATCTCTACTAAAAATACAAAAATTAGCCGGGCATGGTGGCAGGCGCCTGTAATCCCAGCTACTTGGGAGGCTGAGGCAGGAGAATCATTGGAACCTGGGAGGCGGATGTTGCAGTGAGCCGAGATCATGCCATTGCACTCCAGCCTCAGGAACAATTGTGAGACTTTGTCTGAAAAAAAAAACTGAGGTCCAGGGTGGTGGCTCACGCCTGTAATCCCAGCACCTCGGGAGGCGGAGGTGGACGAATTACTTGAGGCAAGGAGTTCGAAACCAGCCTGGCCAACATGGTGAAACCCCATTCCTACTAAAATTACAAAAATTAGCTTGGTGTGGTGGTGCACGCCTGTAGTTCCAGCTACTCAGGAGGCTGCAGCAGAAGAACAGTTTAAACCCAGGAGGCAGAGGTTGCAGTGAGCTGAGACCATGCCCCTGTACTCCAGTCTGGGTGACAGAGCAAGACTCTGTCTCAAAAAAAAAAAAAGAAGAAGAAGAAGAAGAAAAAGAAAAAAAAAAAATAGAATTATAGAGTTAATTGGGAGAAGTACTTTCCCAATCACATGATTTCTAAAACATAGTATTATTTGAGGTCACAAAGAAGGAATATGGAACCTGTTTTCTTCTTCCAAATAGAACATAATAATGAACAAAACTGGCTGGAAAAATAATTGGAATGTAACAAATTCTGTATGAAATTATACCGATGGCCAAACAACAGCACCATAACAATCCATGGCCTCAGTAATTCGAATCTCATGACCAATAAAATGAAAACTTTCCCAGGAAGTAGTTGTTATCGAAGTCGGAATAAAACATCTTGCCATGATCTCTGTGACCACCTGCTTGTCATCATAGTCTTCTCTGGTCTCTGAAAGGAAAAGAAAAAGGTAATAGTTGTATAAGTAAATCCATGAAAAGAGAAAAGAACTTGACAGAAATACAGCATTTCTGCTTAGACTAAGGAGCTTTTGAATTGACTTTAGGTGAGAAATAATAAAGTAAACTATTTGAAAATGACTCATAATGTAAGCTAATATTGCCATTCATCAGGGTGGCAACATCTTTATTATTTTTATGGGAGCTGAAATCACCACTATCTACTTCTGCAGTGCTACACGCAACAAATAATAATTGATGCACTTTTTTAAAGCAATGTATTTTAAGAGCCACCAACCAGTTCACATAGATTAAGAGAAAGATTGGTGATGGAATATAAGAACCCACCTCTTCATATTGGCCACCCAGTGCAATCCTAGTTGTTCTGTGACCCAGGCATGGTGCTGAGTGATGGAATATAGTAGCTAGCCAAACAGACATGGTCCCTGCCCTTGGAAAAATTGGAAATTCACAGACACAAACATGTGGTATCTCATGGCATCCCTATGAAGAATTGTTGGATTGGATGAAAGTGCTTTTCCACAGTACTCCCAAGGCTCTTGGCTCTGGTGCCCACTTGGATAGACATTTCTAATAAATGGTGTGTTCTCAGCTTTGCCTTGATGAACAGTTTTGCCAATGGTTTGACTAACTGATGACATTACAAGTATTATAAAGTTTTCAGAATATATAAATGTGATGGCGACAACAAGTATAATACAAAACTAAATGTGATGGAAAATTTCTTGAGTTATAACAATGAATTGGCCTTAACAATGTGAAATCTAACAAAGATAAGTCTAAAGACTGTATTCAGCCTGAGTTTAGCAGCACTGCGTAGGGGGTGGGGACATAGATACATTTACTTGGCCACAAGCTCAATATGAGTCAAAAGTTTAATATGACCATCAAAAAATCGGTGCACCTAGCCCATATGAAAAATATAATTTCCAAAATCAGGGAGGTAGAGGCTTTATTTTACAACAGTCAGATTATACTTGTACATCCAGTTAGGGAAGGCCCACTTTAGAGGGACACTGAGAAATCGTAGCAACCGAGAGGTCAGAAATCTTGAAATTCACCTTATAAGGACAGTTTTGGGGAGTTCAACACGTTCATCAAAAAGAAAAGGTCTGAGTGAACACAAGAGTTTTCAAAATTTGAAGGACTAGAAAATAGAGAGTTGGGGTGCGTGTGTGTGTGTGTGTGTGTGTGTGTGTGTATCCTGCTTAGAATACAAACAGAATCATGTACTCCTCAAAAGAACTCCAATTTAACCATACCCACAGGAAGGGCCCAGCCTACCACCCACCTCTACCACTACTGCAAACATTGACCCTTGACAGAGATGCAGGGGAAACAAAGAAATAGAAATTTGGTATTTTTCAGCAAAACCATCTCTTCTAATATTTTTCACTGTACTTCACCTTAAACAACTGTATGCACTCATATTCAGGAAGAGCTCTAAGAACCAAATAATATTGGTAACGTGTTTTATTTGAACTTTAACTTCTATTTCACTATATGCACTTGCCTTGCTAAGACTGGGGGTGCAGGGGGAGGGCAACACTTGCTGTGGAAGTTCTTTAGGGAAAAGTAGAGAACGTTAATTGCTTTCTTGACCTTTAACTGAATTTGTCCTCTTGGGCCTCCTTGCATACTACTTGTAAATGTAGCACTTCTATGACAAGTCACCTAAGGTATCAGGGATTAATAGATGTTACAGTACACTAAGTCCCAGGAGCATCTTCGAAAGTCCCAGTCTTTGATCTACAAACTTTGGCGGTGAATATTTACTGATACAACCTGACATCTTTGACTTTGCATGTTCTTTTAAAGGTTAGTTGGCCAGATTAGTGCTCCTGTCCTAACAACTACAGAGGAATAACAAATGAATTCCTAGCTTTTGACTGCGTCCTTCTGAATAGAGTTATTTCATTCTAAGAATGACCCCATCTTTACCTTCATATGGAAATGAGATTTAAAAATATATGAATATATTATAATTGAAAATTACTTACACTCCTAAAACAAAGAACCTTCAAAGAGATTTCATGAAATAAATATAACCACTACTAATTGCATATACACTTTAAAAAGAGCACAACTATATCACTCATAAATGGTAATGCAAAATTAGTTATACACCCAAGATGGTCATGTATCACAGAAAACATTATCAGGTTGAATAAAATTTAATTGATAATGCTTTATATTAATATTCTCTTTTGCATTTAAATATTATATGAATACTACAAGCATCCAACAAGTAACCTTCATAAATTAGCATAATTTATAGCATGAAACCCAAATAAACTAAACTTGGCTGCCGAAAATAATTTGTCTAAAGGGGGATATGCTCTTTGTAAGTACCATGCTGATAAAATCATAAAAAATTCTTTTAGAGGAATGATGATCAAAATGAAATTTCTTTACGACAAGGAAAAAAATAATAATTTGTCTAAAAGTGTAAAACTTTAAAAGCAAACACATACACATAAACACACAATTATTTCCATGTTAAAACATTGGTTGCTGTTTTCCAGTGTGAACTACTATTTAAAGATTTTGAGGTAATAGTTTTTTTCTTTTTTTGTTGTTGTCTTGTTTTTTGAGGGTTTTGTTTTGTTTTGTTTTTTGTTTTGTTTTGTTTTGTTTTGACAGAGTCTGGCTCTGTCACCCAGACTGGAGTGTAGTGGCGCAATCCCAGCTCACTGCAACCTCCGCCTCCTGGGTTCAAGTGATTCTCGTGCCTCAGTCTCCTGAGTGGCTGGGTCAACAATCACACGCCACCACGCCTGGCTAATTTCTGTATTTTTTTAGTAGAGATGGGGTTTTACCATGTGGCCCAGGCTGGTCTCCAACTCCTGAGCTCAACTGATCCACCCACCTCAGCCTCCCAAAATGCTGGAATTACAGACGTGAGCCACCACACCCAGCCTTGAGGTGATTGATAGTTTTAACGGTAATTCTTTATGTAAATCAAGAAATGTTTAATATTAAGCTCTAACAATAACACCACCCATTTCAAGGTTGATAATAAGAATCTCTAAACTAGAATCTAATGGAAAGAGCTGCCCTATGATAAAGGCATCCCTACAGCAGCCTTGTTGTCATAAAAAGGAAAAAATCTATGCTCCAAATAATTTACAAAGAACAGGCCCCTTAAACTGCATGCATATTTAGTTGTTGACTATGAGTCAAATATTGAGAAGATTGGTGAATTAGTAGATAGTCTGGTTTTTAATATTTGAAGAGTAATTCCTACAAAAATTAATAGCATTGTCATACAATGGAATTCTAATATACATTTCTGAAGAATAATTTTTCCACATATATTCTTTCCTCATTATCTAGCACTTTGCCCCCAGGACAAACAACAAAAACCAGATAATATTACCCAAGATTCTGTACATCAGCTTCCTTATATGAAAAGCAGAAAACTTCTGATAACTGTACCTTCAGATAAAAGCTATCTACTATAGTTTTAGAACATTATTTGATTGGTGAATTGAATATTAAAACACAAATATTAAAATAGATTGTAAATAAAACATAGTCAAGACAGAGTATTGCAATTATGTTGCTATCTTGGGCTTATGTATTTTAATCCTTTTGATACAAAAAAAGTCTTAACATCATTTTCCTGCTATTCAGTCTTTGCTGATACTGAATAAAATCTACCAGGTGCTCTCGTTCTCCTGAGAATTAAAGGGGTTTCAAGTATAAAGTGAAAAGTAGCAAGATTCTGCTACATTATGAGGATGATTTTAAGAGGAAAATTCAACAATGAATTGACTTCAATTCTGGATTACAGCAAGCCTTCAAAAATAGAGGCTTTGTCTATATTATTCTCTTCTATAGTTTTAAGGTCAATAATAGCAATAATAAGTGGAAGGGCCAGATCACAGAAATGCATCCCCCCCACCAAAAAAAAAAAAAAACTCTTTAATAGCTATGACAAGTGAATTCAAGCTTCCATTTGAGGGCTGTCATGAAAACCTGCCAGCAAAATTTAAAGTAAAATCCCCTCTACTAAATGAAAGAAACTGTCATTCAAATGAATCTTCTATTCAAAGATGAATGTCATGTGCTTCTTAGAAATGCCTACATATTTAAAAAAAAGAAGTTAAAGATATTTTCGGATTAGTAAATAGTCACAGGCTTAACTTAAAAGGTACAATTCTGAAAACCTCAGCAATGCCAAGGTCTTGGACCCTTATGTTGAAACCAATTCCTGAGAAGATTCTACAAATATTCTCTGTCTGCTGGTCTTCTTAGTTTCAAGAATGTAGAGAGGTTGTAACTCTAATCAAGTAGACCATACAATGCTACATTTTGTCCTTACAAAAGAAAGAAAACGTATCTTTTATTGAGATTGCTCAGGATGCAAGTGGAAAAACAACATGAATTAGTTGTACTACAAGTTTGCTACTGGGATCATGGAAGGGACAGACAACGAAACAAATGTCAATAGCTTGATAAATGCTATACAACAAGTCTTTCTAAAATGCTATGGAAGCATGAGTGGTTGGTTGAATCAGGAGAAGTATCATAAAAGGGGAGATATTTAAGCCCAGGAGTTGTTAGAAGATCTATAGAGCGAGGGTACAAGGCTAGGGGTTTGGGCCAGAATCCCAAAAGATACAATTTCTGAAGCCATAATCCCCAGTGTTGAATCCTGAAAGATCAAAACCCCAAATACATAATTCTGATAAAAATAATTTTAAAAGTTCTTTAAAACATATTTACATTTTTAAAAGAGTTTAGAAACATAAAAATACAACAGAACACTTCGTGGGCTACTTTATGCAATAAAATTGGCAATAATAACATACACAATTTTGCAATCATAAGCACTCAGGTGTGCTACCCACAGTTACATGGGTATAACAGTTATAAGCAGACAAACTGTATTCATAAAGAAATCTCTTATATAGTTTGGTCACTTGAAATATCCTGATGACCAACCTAAGTCTTTTGATGAAACGG